AACTTATTGCAAGCATATGGCACTGCCGTGCGGACAAGCAATCGAGAGGCGAGAAGCGAGGCATGCCAGCGGGCAAAGGCAGCCCGGCTTACCATCCGTGTCGAATGCAGTGCCCGTTGCCAGCTTGATCATGACATCTGCCTGTAACTGAGAGATAACACCTTCTGCCTTCCACAGGTCTATTGCCAAAGCCAGAAACTTGCTGAAATCAATGCCTGCTTTGCCCAGCTCGCCCTTCAGCCGCGACCGCTCGGAGCGGCTGCCGGCGGCGGCGCACCGCTCAGTGAAGAAGTCCTTGAACTCCTCCCAGAACACGATGGAATGGCAAAAGAACTTGATCTCGTGGGAGTAGCCTGACTGAACGGCGATGGCGACGCGCGCCTGTGGATGTGCTTCACAAAACCTTTCCCACGAGTTGAAGCGCGACTTCAGCTGCTTAGCTTGGTTAGCTGCACCGCTCAATAGCGGCGTTGGACCTAGAGCCTTGCTGCCGGACTGGGCACCATGCTCATGTGTGCTCATGGGGGTTGAGTTCGTTGGAAAAGCGTATTACGGTTGCTGGGATGCCAACAGAACAAACGGGAGGGAGAATGATGCATGATTGAGGATGATGTCCCCAATGACCCTCCAGGTGGGGGGCCATCATGCCCATCATGGGGCACATCCTTACCGGGAGGCCTACCTGGATGGCGCAGTGCAAGAATTCCGGCAGCCAAGAAAACAAGCAATTGTTGGGTGAGGGCAGCCAATAGGACATGAGGACAACACTCAATGGGCATGAATGGAACTGCAGTGAAGGACAAGCAGGTTTGGCAAGTACACTCGAAGGAGGAACTGCAGCTGGCAGCTGGTGTCATGCGATGGCGGCTGGCGGGGTGCTGAGCATCACCGCCAAGTCCCAACACGACCCAAGCATCATTGCGGCCAGCACCCACAGGTATGGGATGTGGGGTTCCCGGCACAGCCCATGTACCGCGGAGTAGAGGCGGGCATTCCACCCCCGCTCAAGTGGCAGGCCGGCCGCCCGCAGGCGGCGCTGGTGTGCGGCAAACAGGCTGGCCTCGCTGGCGGCCTGCCAGGCCAGCGGCGCCAGCAGGCCCAGGCCCACACGCAGGAAGCGCAGCAGCGCGGCGCACTGGCAGGCCGCATCCAGCTGCTGCTGCCCGGTCCGCAGCGGCATGGCCGTCAGCAGGCTGAGCCAGCTGAGGCCGCGGTACAGACAGCCCGTCAGCCAGCGCGTGTCTGCCTGCGCCAACCAGCCCGCGCGGCACAGGCCCTGAATGCTGCTGCTGCGGTTGACGTGCAGCAGCAGCAAGTACTGCGTGGGGATGCTCCAGCTGCGCAGGTGGGCCGGGAGGGCAAGAGAGGAGAGGCTCAGATGGCAAGGGAGGGAAGACTCAGATCGCAGAGCAAGCACTGCCTGCCAGCCGGCGTCACCGCTGCTGCGGCTCACCTGAGGCGCATGGGGCGCAGCTGCTGTAAGGCGAGGACAGCGGCGGAGCTGACAACCAGCAGGCTGATGGTGCCGAGCGGCAGTGCCCCCATCCTTGCTGCCAGCCAACCGCTTGCCCGTGGCAGCGGCAGGTCCGTGCTTCCCTCACTTCCCATCATATGCCTGCACCCAGCCGGGAAAGGGGATGATGCCTGGCGATCAGCACAGCAGAGTGTCCTCTGAAGGGTGTGGCACTGCTTCCTCTCAGAGACAGGCTGTGGGGGGGCAGGCAGCAGGCTGGCGAAACGCGGGCAGCAGGATGCCGCACCTCAGCAGCGGCGGCCATGCCAGCGCCACGCCCATGCGCAGCGCCAGCGACACCACTTCCATGCACCGCAGATAGGCGTAGCTTGGGCCGTGCTCGGCGCATGTCAGGGCGTGCCAGGCGATGCATGCCGCCGCCGCCACGGCGCAGGCGGCCAGAGAGGTGGCCAGCAGCTGCCGATCTGCAGCCTCCCACGCAGACGGCTGCTGGCTGGCCAGCAGCAGGCAGCAGCAGGCGAAGACCTGCAAGGAGGCGCCTCTGGCTACGGTCAAAAGGGGGAAGAATGGTCCCGGCCCGAGTCCGCTCTCGAAGGGGTGCTGTGCCCAGTTGACTCGCTTGGATGTGGCCACATGGAGCCACTGCTGAGCCCAGGAATGCTGTGCTAGTCGCACTCCACTGGACTGTGGCATGCGCATGCAGGCAGACGTGATGCCAGGGAGAATTGTGCCGTGCAAGAGGGGGCGGCGGCAGCGCCCACGGCGAGCATCGGGTGGTACTGCATGCAGGCCAGGACGCTTTGCTCCTAGAGGGCCAATCCGCCGCTCCTCCCTGGCCCCAGCGAGCATGCACCCACCGACAGGAAGGAGTCGAAAGCCACTGCCCAGGGCAGCCGTGCAGCGCCCCAGCGCTGTAAGAAGTTGCGGGCCGGCGTTTCGGCCAGTTACCGGGCTGTCGTCGTTCCGATTTCATCCATGTGTCATCTGTTGGATGCATTCATTGGTTGCAAAGGCCGCTGGCTGGTGACCGGCTGTAGGGGAGGAGAGCCCGAATGTTTCTGCTGCCGCCGGTTTATGGAAGATCTTAAGTCCAGGGTGACCCTGCTTCGAGGAAGTGGAGGGACGCTGCATTCAGCCGCTTGTCTTTGCGGCGGGCGCACGGCGTGACGTGGACATCATGCCACCGCCGGACACTAGAACCCCTCCAGTGGTGAAGACCGACTTAATTGGAGACCGACCACACAGCAGCGTGGCACCGCCCACGGCAAAGAGCAGGGTGAGGTGTGGCGGCGGTCGCCGGCGACGGCACCAGCTGGTGCTGCAGCACCACTGCGTTCTTCTGGGCGGCGTCACCCTCCGCCATCCTGGTTCCATCCAGATGCGCGCTTCCCAGCCCGTGCACTCTCAGCGCACCGCCATTCAATTCAATGAGCAGTCGCTCGTTACAAAAGGCCCGCGCCAGCATCCCCAACTCTCCGGCGCCGCGGCCCCCCTCCTCACGCATGCTTGCGGTACAGCATATGCGCCACGCCCCACTGGTTGCCTGCAGGCCACACACGCGGAGACCAGTTCGGTCCGTGGCAAGCTGGGGCGCAGAACAGCGCGCGTGGCAGCCACAGGCCTATGCCAGCGCACCGGAGTCGTAACGGAAGAGCTCGGAGCAGGACATCAGGAACAGGCGCCAGTAGACAAACCACTTGAGGGCCTGCGGACAAGTGCAGGAGGGCTTGGGGACCTGGCATGGCCGCCCCCATGGAGCAGCAGGCATTCGCGCGGGCCTGGCGCAGCGGCAGGGCGCCGGCCGCCGGGTGCAGCATCGGGCTGCCCGCCGCGCGCGCACCTGCTGCTTGCCGTAGGTCTGCTCAAACAGCGGCACGATCTGCTGGCGCGAGGCATCGTGCAGCCTGAGCCAGGCCTCCAGGGTGCGGCTGTAGTGCACGCCGTTGACGTACCTGCAGGCGCGCCAGGTGGCGCACAGCAGGCGCAGCGGGGCAGGTCAGGCGATGGTCACGGGGCGGTACGGGCCCGTGCGCTGCACCCCCTGGACGACGCCTGCCGAAAAGGTGCGAAGAAGTGGGTCCCCCCGGTCCACCCCCTACTGCCTGGCGGCCGCGGCGCCCCGCCTGCCGGCCTGCGCCACGCTGTGCACGCCACACTGCCCGCCGCGGGGCACCCCTTCACCGGTACCGCCGCGCCGCCTGCACGCCACGCACGCTGGCGCTGGCCAGCGCTGGCCGCCCTGGCGGGCCTCACCACGTCTGCTGCGCCGCCAGGTCATCCTGGAACATGTGCATGAGCTCGATGGAGGGCATGGTACCGCCGGAAAAGAAGTACTTGGTCATCCAATCATCCTCCCCCTGGACCTGCGCATCACATGAGGCGAGGGGGCAGGGCCCGCGGCTCGGTTGGTGGCCAGGCCGAGTTGGTAGGGCCGGAGCCTGGGGGTCTTGGCCCGCAAGGGCGCCAGGCGGCAGGGCCCACAAGCACAGCACAGGGCATGCAGGGCGCGGCGGCACACGCGGGGCGGTACCACTCGCCTCGAAGTGGTAGGGCAGGCCGCGGGCGTGCACGAAGATGTGGAAGAAGAGCAGGCCGCGCGGCGCCAGCCAGGCGGCGATGCGCCCAAACAGCTCCTTGTAGTTCTGCACCCGGCCAGCCGCGTGACACGCGCTGCTGTTGCTTCCGAAGCGTCCTTGATATTTGCTGCCGTGCTGCTTGGCTTGCATCCGGGCCAGACAGCAGAGCAGCACCCCACCGCATCCGTCCCGGGCGCCTGCCGGGAGGCCAGCCTCACGCACACGCCTCTTGCAAACTTGCGGCTGGCAGTCTCTCCCTCTGTTTTTTTCGTTTCTCTCTCTCTCTCCTCGGCGCACCTTCATGTGCTCGAAGCACTCGATGGATACCACGCGCTCATAGGTGCCAGGAGCAGGCGGCTGGAAGTCAAGCAGGTCTGCGGTGATGACGGTGAGGTTGGCCAGGCCGCGCCGCCTGCGCCAGGCCGGGGGGCCCAGCAGGCTTGACGCCAATGCCATCCTCCGCGTGGGCGGGAGAGAGCATGGCGGGCAGCGGCACCCAGGGGCGCCACGCACCCAGGCATCGCTCCCAACGGCCACGCTTGCGCAGCCCGACAAAGGCGGGCACCACAGCAGGACAAACCCGCTCAACCGCCCCGCCCCGCCCCGCCCGGGCCCCAACGCGCTCACTCTGCCTCGGCAGTGATGAAAGCGCGCTGGGTGCGGCTGTTGCTGACTGCGGTGATGGAGGAGGCCGGGTACTTGGCCGCCATGAACAGGCTCCAGCTGCCCCACCCGCACCCCAGCTCCAGCACCTGGGCGGCGGCAGGCGGCGGGCAGGGCCAGGGGCGGCGTCAGCCAGGCAGCCGGCGAGCGAGCGAGCGAGTGAGGGGGACGCTGGGCTGGCTGCAGATTGGGGCCTTCTGCAGCCTGCCAGCCGTGTGGCCGAGGTGCAGACCAGTCCACATGCGTCCTGGGCCTCCCACCTGCTGCCCGTCCTGCAGCTGCGCCCGCTCGCAGCACAGCTCCAGCATCGCCACCTCCGCCTCCTCCAGGCTGGCATCGGGCCGCTCAAACAGGCAGCTGCTGTACTTGCGGTGCGGGCCCAGCACCCGCAGAAAGTACTCTGTGGGCAGCTCGTAGTGCTGCTCGTTGGCCGCCGCCGTCTGCGGGCGGGCGGGTGGGCGGGTGGGCGGGAGGGAGGGAGGGGAATAGGAGGCTATGCCACATGCCGACGTGTGTGCCGTCCAGCGCATGTGTGAATGGGCGCCGTGTGAGGAATGCAAGGCTGGCATCGGCACCAGGCCCCTGCACCTGCACCGCCACCGGCATGCCGGCAAGCTCGTCTCTGAATGCCTGCAGCTGGCGGTAGTGCTCCTCTGCTGGCAGGTCTGTGGTCTGCAGGACAGAGCAGGGGGCTGGAATGGAGTGACAGTGCTGCGCGAAGCATTGGCGGCGTGGTGGCAGCAAGCGGTGGCACGCCCAGCAACCTCCTGCGCCGCACTCGCTGCCTGCTCGCACCAGCTTCACGCGCTGGCTGAGCAGATACCGGATGCCCGCCCTTATGACCTGCAGCCAGCAACAGCCAGCAACAAGCTCAACCACTTTCTGAGGTCCTGCAGGTGCGAGCTCTACTTCGTGGCGCCAGTGCCGCCCGCCGGCGCCAACATGCCAGACATGGCGGAGGGGTCGAGGTGCGGGTGTGGTCCATTTCCGCGCTGGAGCGTCCCCAAGCACAAGCGCACCGAGTCTGGCACCACGTCTCGCTCCACCACTGCAAGGGTCTTGGCAAACAGCGCGTCGTAGGCTTGCCGCAGCATGATTGCGATTTGATCACCTGCCAGAATGCTTTGCAAATAGAGCGGGGGAGGGAAACGCTCCGATGGCCAAGGAATTCCGTCGTCTTTCTTGACGCCCCTGCGCCGTTGCTGGGGCCGTCTCCGAGCCCATCGTTCATTGCATAGAGCACAAGCCACCTGTGGGCGTCATCTCAGGCGGCCGCAGCCTCCAGGCTTTCGCAGACTATCAAACAGTCGATTGATCAGCACCCCCGACCCGCCCGCGTGCTTCATGCAACGATTGGGAGACTGTGCAAGCGGCAGCAGACTCTGGCAGCTCACTTCCTGCTCCCTGAGGCAGTGCACTTGGGCTGGGCCATATCAGGCAGCCAGGGGCTCCAAGCGGCTAGCAGTGGCGGCCACGACCACGCTGAGCCGGCAGTCAGGGGCAGTGCAGCCGAAGCAGCAGCGCCTGCACCAGATGTCGACGTGGGACGGTGCGCCGCCGCCGCCCGCGCCGCCTCCGCTGCCCGCTGCCTCCCCTGTCCCTGCTGCCAGCAACCCATCCATTCCGCCATGCCACCATCACGCACCTCCACTGCACATGACCAACCGTGTGTCCACGCAGCCGCTGCCCACCACCCCATGGCTCACCCACACACCCCATTTCTCTCCCAGACCAACCGCCCGCCCCACCACCACCCGCAGGCAATGCCAGCCAGGAGGAGCTGATGGCCAAGGATGAGTGTATCCTGGTGGACGAGCTGGACAACATCACAGGCCACGCTAACAAGTACCAGTCGCACCGGTGAGCCAGCCAGGCGTTGGTTTCCCATGCAGCAGGGCAGGCAGCGGAAGACGACAGCGCAGGGCGGCAGACGCGGCGCCGGCACGTCACGGGCAGCGACAGCTCCCTTGCCGCTGCTGCCGCCGCCGCTTCAGCACGGTTGGTGCTGTCGGTGCTGGCCATCCACACACCACTCGGTGCCTCGCTCCCGCCGCCCCCTGCTGCGCCGCAGGTTTGAGGCGGGGCAGCCGCGCGGCCTGCTGCACCGCGCCTTCTCCGTCTTCCTGTTCGACTCGGACAACAAACTGCTGCTGCAGCAGCGCGCCGCCTCCAAGATCACCTTCCCCAAGGTCTGGACCAACACGTGCTGCAGCCACCCGCTGCACGGGTACAACCCCACAGGTGCGCCGCGCCGCGGCGCCTGCTCAGCGGTGGTGGCGGCAGCCCTGCCGTGCTTGTGCGTGTGGCTGGAGCGTATAGGCATGACAGGCCGCCTCGGGTGCGGCATGACAGGCCGCCTCGGGGAGCTGGGCGGGCAGGAGTTGGGGCCAGCCTGCTGCGCCCAGCGCTGCTGTGCCCTGCAGCTGGCAGGCGGGCTGCAGCACGCGGCACCTATTCCTGTCGCTCTGCGCTGCCTCGGCTCGCCCGGCCATCGCCTGCCTGCTGCCCTCCCACCCCGCCGCCCTCCCCATGCAGAGATAGACTTCCCAGCCGACATCGCGGCGGGCATGACGCCCGGCGCCCAGCGCGCCGCTGTGCGCAAGCTGCAGCACGAGCTGGGCATCCCTGCGGCGCAGCTGCCGCTGGAGCAGTTCAAGTACCTCACCCGCCTGCACTACTGCCCGGCAGACACGGGTGCGGGCGCAGAGTAGAGTTGGGGGGGGCTCTGTCGCGGGGTGGGGTGGGGGGCCCAGTCCGCCCCGGCGCTCCAAGGCGTCGCGGGTGCTGCTGCTGTGGCTGCCACCTGTGCATCTGTCGGTCCCGCCCGCCACGCTGCTGCACATGCGTGTGTGCCACCTGCAGGCACGTGGGGGCCGCAGGCGGAGTGGGGAGAGCACGAGATGGATTACATCCTCTTTGTGCGGGCAGACGTCACCGTGCAGCCGAATGCAGAGGAGGTCATGGTGCGGGGGCTGCGGGGGCTGCGGGGCCTGCGCCCGCCTGTGTTCCTTCATGAGCCTTGCTTTTGCTGTTGGTTGGTTCCACCACCAGACCTTCAGGGAAGCACAATTCCTAGCAATCTTGCTGCCCTGCTGAGCTGCAGGACACCAAGTATGTGAGCCTGGGCGAGCTGCGGCAGATGATGCACCCCAGCAGCGGCCTGCTGTGGTCGCCCTGGTTCAGGTGAACCTTCGCCTGCCCTCGTGGCACCGCGGGTTGGCATGGATGGAGGGCAGCTCCTTGTGTGCCACTGCGGAGCAGGGGTGGGTGGGAGGCTCTGCCATGCCAAGCACCGCCATCCATCCCCCACGCCCACGCCTGGAAGCCAGCCCCGCTGCGGCACGGTGCGGTGCCTTCACCTTTCGGCCCCGCCCAACCCGGTGCAGGATCATCGCTGAGAACTTCCTGGAGGGCTGGTGGCGGGATCTGGATGCCACGCTGACCACCGACAAGCACGTCGACACGCAGTGCATCCACAAAATCATGGCCTGAGGGGGCGGGTCGCCTCTCGCCAGTCTGTGATGACCAGCTCGACATCAAACACTCATCAGGCAGCCTCACGGCAGGCAGCAGCAGCACTCACGCTCCGCTGGCGTTCAGCGCGATACCATCTCATTCCACACCCCTCGTTTTCCCGGATTGCGATGTACCAACATCCCTTGCGGCACCTCGCCCTGCTACTGGCCTTGTCGGGGCTGCCACCTTCCCAGTTTTGCCCGTTTCTGTTGACCCCGCGTCCCTGCTGTTTTTTTTCCTGGACAGTTTTATCCCAGCAGTCAATGCACAAGATTGAATCTGGAAAATATTTGATGCCAGCAGGACAAAGCCAATCTGGTTGATGGAGACCGGGCCAGGAAAGTTCAGGGTGATTACAGTGTGCTGTGCTGTAGATGCGGTAACAACAGCAAGCACGGGAGAGGCGCTGCTTAGTCCAGCGCCACAAACCTGCCCAGCAGGAAAGCCGGCTTGAGCGCGTCCGACCTGCGCCGCTCACACTCACCTGCTTCGCACCCCGCTGCCGCTGCCTGCGCCGCCGCTGCTGCCGGGGCCGCCGCTCCCCGCGGGCGCTTGGCTGCTGGCGGCCCCTGCTGCTGCTGCTGCTGCCCCTCCTCCTGCTCACCCACCTCCTCCCCTGAGCTGGCATCGTCGGCGTCAAAATATCTGGCGTCTGCCCGCGCGGCCCGCTTCTTGCCGCCGCCGCCCGCCTGGCAGGGCACAGGGGGTGGGTGCAGCCACAGAGCAGCCTGGCCGCAGCACACAGCGGGCCCGGGAGCCCGGCAGCATGGCAGCATGGCACAGCGTGTGCACGTGGCGGATGCAGGTAGGCGGAGCAAGGTGCCCGGCAGGCAGTCGCCACCGGCAACGTCATGCAGCGGCGCACCCGTGCAGCCTTGCCCTTGCCCTGCGACGCCACATCCAGGCTCTTCTCCTCCCGCACCATGCGCAGCGTGTAGTGCTTGTGCGGGCAGGCGGCGCCCGCGGGGCAGTAGCCGCGCAGGAAGCGCTTGCAGACGGGGGCCCCCGCCGGCAGGTTGACGTGAAGGTATGGGCAGGCGGCGGCGGTGCACCGGCCCTGCGGGGGTGGCGGGGCAGGGCACGGGGAAGACAAATGGGCAGCAGTGTGAGGATCTCGCCGTTGCAGGAGCACGAGGCAGAAAGCTGGTCAGGAGGAGGTTCTGGGTCTCCTTGCAGCTTGCTCATTCAGACAAAGCATGGCACGCAGCAGCCCGGCGCAGCGGCACACCTGGAGGAAGTGGGTGCAGATGGGCATGAGCTCCGCCTTGCGCTGGTGCTGCAGCGTGCACAGCGCGCCTGCCGTGCAGCGGCCGTGCAGCCAGTGTGGGCACACGGCGCGCTTGGTGCTGTCGTGCCTGCAGAACGAGCGGCCGCACCGGTGGTTAGCATCAAAAGCGGCAGCAAGAGCTATCCCGGCCGTGATTGCTGCCACGAGATGGCCCCTCCCACTGCCACCCTGCTCACTTGTATGGGCAGCCCTTGCCCCGTCGCTCGCACTTGCCGGTGCGGCAATACAACGGGCAGTACACAATCTTGAGCTTGCCGGTACCGCCGCCCTGGATGCCAGCTGCCGCCGCCGCCGACTGGCGGCGCCGCTGCTTGGATGCAGAAGCGCTCGGCTTGCTCACCCCGCCCCTGACCTTGAGAGCAGCTGTCGTCGGCAACCCCGCTTTGCTTGCTGATGATACCCGCTTGCGCACTGCCGCCGCTGCCGCTGCTGCGACTGCCGCTGACACAAGCTTGTAGCGTGAGAGCCGGCGCGTGCCGCTGGCCGCAACAGCGGCAGCAATGGCAGCTGGTGCCAGTCGTGGCTGCGCTCCTACTAGCGGGGAGCCCGCTGCTGCGGCCGCTGACCTTGTCACTCTGTTGGGCAGTTGCTGCTGCAGCTGCTGGCTGGGCTGTCGCTGCAGCGACCTGGACTTGCCTCGCCCCACCACCTGCACCAGAGAGGGAACACGCACTAGAGTTGGGCATCCACGTGAAGGCTGCTGCACCTCACTACCTGTGGTCTGACTTTGGGGCCTCGTCCCTCTCTGCTAGCCTCACCTTGTACACGCTATCGCCCAGCCGCAGCAGCTTGGTGCTGCCGACAGCTCCCCTGCCCGCCCTGCCGCTGCTGCAGGCCCTCATCCCGCTGGCGGGGCTCCTGCTGGCAGCTGCAGCCGGGCGGCTGGCAGTCTTGGCTGCTGCCACGGTCGGCACTGCTGCTGCTGCTGCCGCTCGCACATACTTGTGCCACTTGGTGCCCCTCCGCGGCTGCAAGCTGCCGGGGCTGCGACCGATCTGGCCTGGCGGCGGTGCCTTTGAAGGCGCGCCCACAGCTGCAGCGGCCGCTGCTGCAGCGAGCCCTGCGCCTGGTGCTGTTGGCGCTGCGCCAGCAGACGCCGGGTTGCGCCAGGTAAGGCTTGCCCTGGCGGCCGCCTTGACAGCCGTGCGCCGCAGGCTCTTGCCCCGCTGGCCCTTTTGGTACACGAGCAGCCGCAGCTGCCCTCCGGCGCTGCTGCTCAGCACGGCCACAGTCTTGCCCCTGCTGCTGATCGTGGCGGCGGCGGGGGGGCCTCCTGCTGCAGGGGCAGTTGTCTTGCTATCTGGCTCTGCTGCTGCTGCTGGGGCCGCTGCGGCAGCAGGTTTGGCTGGCGCAGGTGCAGGCGGTGGCGCTGCCGGACGGCCGCCGACGCCAGGCGCTTGCGCCTGGGGTCTCGCTGCTGTATGGCTGCTTCCAGGAGGCTGTGCCTGCTGCTGCTGCTGCTGCTGCTGGGAGGGACGCGTCCAGGTGTTGCTGCGGCGTCCAGGCGGCAGCCCATTTGTGGCGGGTGGGCGTGCGGCCGCTCCCGCCACCGCCGCTGCCGCTGCGTGCCTACTGGTGGGAGCCTGCCGCGCGCCCTCCAAGGCTGCGCGTCCCGCTGCCTGCTGCCTGAGCTGTGCGATGAGAGCGGGGCTGGCGTGCACTAGCTTGTGGCTGCTCAGCTTGAGCGCGGGCGGCTGCTGGGGCAGTGCTGGCCCTCCCTGCGGTAGCGCACCATCATCTTGACGCCGCAACTGGTACTTGTTGCGCCCCTTGCTGTATGTTGGGCCTGCCCGCTGCGGTTGCTCCTGCTTCTCAGCCTGCCTCTGATGCTGCATGATATGGCCGTTGCATACGCATCGTGCATACGACGGTGGCAAGGTGTGATGCCTCTGGCAAACATCTTCGCGCCGCCCGCCTCGTTAGCGGCGGCGCTGGCGCCTTATGGCTGACGCCAAGCCGGCCCGTGAGTGGGGTTTGGACCATAGGATGCTGTGGCGCCGTCATCATCATGGTCAGCCAGGCACCCTGCATGGCATACAGCGGTGCGTTCCGTGTTGCCGCCACCGCCGCCGCTGTGGTTGCAACCATCTCAACGTCTTCTCAAAGACTGGCGTGCCCATTTGTGCATCCATGCATCAGCCTGTAAATGGCGACCCTCCCAGGGGCTTTGTCGCCCTGCCAGCACCCAAAGACCCTGCCGCATGCCGTGCGCGCTGCCGGTCTGCCGTGCACCAGGACTGTGGGGCGTAACGCTGCTGCTGCCGCCTGCTGGCTAGGCTGTGTCTCCTTTCAATATCCATCAGTCCTGCAATGGAGGAGCCCCACGCCCCCGACTACAGCCACCTCCCCACCGACGCCCTGCTGGTGGTCTTTGCCGCTCTTTTCTCGCCCGTTTCACCATCATCATACTTTGCACAAGAAGGATTGCCTCTCAGCACGTTCATAGCACGGTGGCATGCGGTGGGTCGAGTTTGCAAGACCTGGCGGGAGGTGAGGGCTGGCTTGCGGGCTTGGGAGACGCTGTCGAGAGTTGGGGCGATGTAAGGCAGCCGATCCGATGATGGCAGGGGAGCGGCGTGGATGCTGGGAGCTGCCGCTCTCTTCCCGGCGCCGCCCACCGCCAGTGGCCCTCGCCCTTCCCTCTTGGTGTGCGCAGGCGCTGCTGGCCCACCCACCGCCCCTGTATCTCGAAATATCCACACTGCCAGAGGACTGGATCCCCTGGCTGGCCACGCTGCCGGTGCGGGTGCTGCGAATTGAGGAAGGCCTGGATGCGGTGAGAGCCACCACAGCAGACACGGGTGCCTGGCGAGCGACGGCTCGGGCACGGTGCAAGGCACTTGTTGGTTCAGATGACGGAGCTTGGTGCCTGAATCTTCTGCCATGCAGCGCTGGTCCTCGCTGCCCAATGAGGAGGATGAGGGGCAGCGTGGCGGGCCGCCTGGGGGCATGCCCGGGCCGTTGCCCTCGCTCCAGCTTGTGGCAGGGCTGGAGGGCGCCGGCAGGCCCGCCCCCTTTTGGTCGCTGGCACCGTTCTCAGGGCTGCAGGTGGGACCACCCATGATTGCCTGCCTGCATGGTACCAGAATGTCAGTTCTGAAGCGTCCTGCTGATCCACCATGCAGTCGCTGCATCTTCAAGCCCCTGTCAGCAGCCCCATGGAGCCTGCTGTGTTTGACAGCGCAGCAGTGAGGGACTTGCAGCTCCTCCAGCAGCTCTCCCTTGGTAGATTTGCAGGTGCACTCCAGGAGCCACATGCTAGCCACGCCCGTACGGCCCGCGATGACAGTTGCCCTGCTCTGGGCTGGTGCAGCCGTGCAAACTGCATGGCCTGGCTGGCGTTGACAGCCGTGCCTGCCCCGCCTGCGCCTGCAGACTTCCAGCTTGAGCACCTGCCCTCCAGCCTGCGCCGCCTGCGGCTCGCGTATGATGGCCAGACACGCACTCTTAGCATGGCGTGCCTGCCAGACCACATTACCAAGTGGGTTCTGCGGCCTGCACCTGCAGCCGCAGTTCGCCGCTGCAGGGGAAGCGATGTGCTTGCGATGATAGCAAACACTCAATCTTCCAGAGCTGCATTTCCCCTCCCTGCCCTGCAGCCTGGACCTGCTTCAGTTGGAGAAGCCGGGAGCGCTGGGGCTCTGCATCGACGACTGCTGGTCTCGGGTGGCTCAGCTGGACGTCCGATGCCGGGAGCTGCTGATTGGCGTGCCGGTCCAGGACCGCCAGCTGATTGCCACCTTTGAACGGCCCTACAGAGAAGGCAACTTTGTTCCTCCTCACATTTGGTGCGTGAGGCATCCAAGGGGTTTTGTTGTGTGAAGCAGCTGTATGGCTCGAGGCTAACAAGACTGCCAGGCCGTGGTACCCTCCATGCACGCATGCGTTCACGAGGAGTGCCGCCGCTGCCGCTGCATTGCAGGGGGGATGAGGAGGCTGACGACAATAGCAAGCAGGCAGCTGAAATGACCGCCAACCACTTCTTGGCCACCCTGCCCTGCTGCAGCAGCCGGCTGGAGGTGCTACGTGTGGGGGCCAGGCTGCGCTGCTTCACGCTGCCAATTGCACTGAGCAGCGAGGCTTCTGCTCACCTCTGCAACCTTGCCTGCATTGTGGTGGTGACCCTCAACCTCCCTTTTCATTTCCATCCCCGCCGGCCCCCCTGCAGCGCCTGCGCCTGGAGGGCGCCGCCGCCGCATCCACCAAGTTCATGCCGGTGCTTCCGCATGGCCGGGCGTCGCTGCAGTGGCTGTGGAGCGTGGTGCGGCTGCAGGGGCTGCACAACCTGTATGGCCTGAGGTAGGGCGAGCCGGCCTTGGCTGGCTGCGCCGCCACAGGGCCAGCTTGCTGCGCCTGGCGCCGGATCCCAAGGCCTGCGGTGCCTGCCTCACTCCCGCTGCTCGTTGCTGCTGCGCTGCGCTGCAGCGGACACGAGATGCAGGCGCGGCAGCAGCTGTTTGGCGACCGGCTGAGCTTTCGGTATGTGCCAGAGCATAGACCACAGGCCTGTGCCATCCAGATCGTGCGAGGCCGACTCCACCCAGGGCCCGAACCGGCGGAGCCCTGATCACGCAGGCGGCGCCAGCTCCATCGAGGCGTCAGCGACTAGGCGGGCGCCACCGTGCAGCCACTGGCATGCGCGTTCCTGTGCATGATCCTGGCACGTCAGTTGATTCAGTTTAGTTTACACAAGGGAGGCATTGCAATTGAGCACGGACAAGGAGCATGGTGTGTGGCAGGGCATTGCGGCGGGTGGGCCCATTGCCAGCAAGGAGTGTCTCATGGTGCAACACATTCACGTGCAGAGTGAAGAGGGTGGTGCAGTGGCATGCCATACATGGAAGTAGGAGGTGCTAGCACAGCAAATCCACCTTGCGGCAGAGGGGCGGACGTCGGCATCGCCGCCCATAGTAGGGCTGGGGTGTAAAGCCAGTTGGCGCCACCTGTGAAGGTCATCTAAAGCTTTAGTGAAGATAAAGCCTTTACTGCCTGTCTGTAATTCACTATGTGCGCCTGTGAACCCACTCCCGAGCTGTAAAGCTTATATAAAGCGTTACAGCTTAGCACCTGCTGGCAAAAATGCCCCATTTTGGGGGTAACATAGCCCAGCTTCCGCCTTCGGCGCAGATGGCGGCGTGCTGCCGGTTCAGAACAGGGTAGATATATCTTACAGCATGAAAAAATAAGATGAAATTGCTATGAAGGGCGCCCTCAATGTGCCCAGCTCCCACAGGGACGTGAGATTGTTCCTGGGGGCGCGCATGATGAGGCGGCGGCAGCACCGCAGGCGGCGCCCTCCCAGGGCGCTGCCGCGGCGGCCGCCATGGCAGCCCCGGGGCTGGCGGCATTGGCGGCAGCAGGATCCCAGCCTACCGGCACTCAGCCCAGCCCCACTGCCTCCCCACCCCCGCCTGCCCCCGCAGCAGAGCCCCACCCCAGAGCGCCGCGGAACGCTGAACTCCCTGCAACCGCTGTCCAGGCTATGCGGGCCGGCCCTCAATGTGCCCAGCTCCCACAGGGACGCACAGATGAGATTGCCAGCCTGCTTGCCCAGATGGATGCGCCGTTCACAGCCCCGGAGGCGGTGGAGCTGGCCAAGCGCACACCTGCGCTGAAGGCGGCGATTGGCCCCCTGCCGCCCTGGCTGCTGAAGCCAGCGATTACAGCCATGGCCCCGCTCTGGGCCGCCGAGGCTAACGCCTGGCGCCGCGTGGCTCGCCTTTCCCGCCCTGACGCCCGCAGCTCCATCACGATGCTGGCCAAGCCTGGCGGAGCCCCCGTCACGCCAGCCGACTTCCGCGGCATTGCGGTCAGCCCGGTGTTCCCCAAGCTCTATGCTGCGGGGCTGGCGCGGCGCGTCTCAGCGCATGCGGAGGCAGCGGGCACCCACGCCGACGGCCAGTTTGGCTTCCGCCCCGGCCGCGGCACCGAGCAGGCGGCCCTGGCGCTGCGCACGCTGATGGACCGCTACCGGCTGCTGCGCAAGCCCGGCAGCCGGCAGCGGGGCACCAAGCTCTGGGCCTGCTTCGTGGACTTCAAGCAGGCCTACGACCGAGTGCCACGCGAGGCGCTCTGGGCCAAGCTGGCACTCATGGGCTACAGCGGCGAGTGGCTGCGCGCACTGCAAGCCATCTATGCCGAGGTCCCCATGTCTGTGAACGTGCCCGGCATCGCGCACCGCCTCATCCACACCACCATCGGCTTGAAGCAAGGCTGCCCCCTCAGCCCCATCCTCTTCGACCTCTATATCGCCGACTTTGAGCGCCGAATGCTGGACGCGGCGGCGGCTGGCGGCTTCCACCTCCCCGAGCTTCTGCCTGGCTACCCTGCGCCCCCGCTGTTCTTTGCCGACGACTGCGCCCTGCTGGCCACCACAGCAGCTGGCCTGCAAGCCCAGCTGCGTGAGCTGGAGGCCTACTGCCGCGAGAACGGCCTCACCGTCAACGTGAAGAAGACGAAGGTCATGCTGCTCGCCGGCGCCACCAGCGAGGAGGCGGCGCTGCGGCGCGTGCGCAAGGCGCGGTTCACCTATGCCGGCAGCGAGATCGAGGCGGTGCCCGACTTCAAGTACCTGGGCATCACCTTCCACTGCTGCAAGCCGCTAGGGGAGTCTGCTGCCGCTGCCCGCGCGGCGGTGGCCCGCTTTGCCGCTGCATCGTTTGAGGCGCGATGCGAGGAGCTGGGCTTGGAGGCAGCCAAGCTACTGCTGACCCTTTATGACGTGCTTGTGGACTCTACGCTGTCCTATGCCGGCGCAGTGTGGGCCCCTGGGCTGGCGATGGCTGCGGCGGCACGCCCTGTTGTGAGCGGCGGCGCTGGACGCAGCACCCCGTTGTCGGAGCCCGAGCTGCAGCACCTGCGGTTCCTGAGGCGCCTTCTGGCGCTGCCGCGCAGCACCCCCGCCGCCACTATCCTGGCAGAGGCAGGCCAGCCGCCGCTCCATGCCCGCTGGCTGCGGCAGGCAGCCCGCCTGTGGAACAGCTTGGTGACCGCCCCTGAGGGCAGCATGCCGCGGCTGGTCGTGCAGGCAGCGGCAGCGGTGGCAGTAGATTGCGCAGACGTGCTGCCACAGCGGCAGCCTTGGGCCGCCCAGCTGGCGCACAGCCTCCGGGCTGTGGGCCTGACGTTTGAGCCGCTCCACATGGACAAGATTAGCCCGGACAGCGCGCAGCAGGCAACCTTGCGGCTCCACCTGGCGCGTGTGACGCAAGAGACGCCCGCCCACACCCGGCTGCGCCACTACTTCTGCGATGTGCGCCCGGAGTGTTGTAGCCTGGATGGGTATGGCCGCCCACCGTATGTCACGGAGGTGCGTGAGCGGCGCTGCCGCCGCGGCCTGACCGAGCTGCGCACAGGCATGCACTGGGGGGCGGAGGAGCAGGGGCGACGCACTGGCACGCCCCGCGAGCAGCGCGTGTGCCCGCACTGCCCCGCCCTGGATGGCCCTGGCGGCATTGAGGACACCCGACACATCCTGTTTGTGTGCCCCCTGTATGCCGCCGAGCGCGAGCGCTGGTCGGAGCTGTTCCACGAGTTCCTGGGCCTGCCGCCGGCGTCCGTCCCCCTCAGCGCATTCTTCCAGCAGAGCAACACCGAGCTGGCAGCCCTGGTGGCTGCATGCCGCAAGAAGGCGCGGGACGCCGTGAGCCCACAGTAACACAGTACCCTTGATTGATTGATCTTTATATTGTGCAGGGCAGGGGGAGGAGGAAGGGGCGGTGAACTCTCTGGCGGGACCGGCATAGGGCTGCTCAGGCGCCTGTCCGCACTGTCCCCGGGGAGACCCGCCCCAATCAGACTCCTCTCCCCCCCTGCTCTGTCTGCAATCG